CCATTTCCGATAACCAGATATTGACTGATAAAGGATTAGAATACCGCGAATGCCATTCTTGACTCTGACAAAGAATTTGAAGCTGGAAAATCGATGAATGGAGCTCCGATGGTGAGTTCTATCAGAACGTGCTTCTGATATGTTGTATTTTTGGTAAATTGTTGTATTGCATTCAGTTTCTAGGGAAACGAACAAAACTAGATAATCAGAAGTAAAAATGCGTTTATCGTATAGTGTCTGAATTCTAACAAAATATAGGAGTTCATGTGTATTATTGAATTTAGATTTGTTTATGTAAAAATAATTAGAAAAAAAAAACAGTTCTGAAAGGGTTAATCTTTGATTGGCAAAGTTTTTCGAAAAACAAAGAATATAATGTCAATATTAATTTTATTCTAGAACTGGAACAGCACAACGTTGAGCGATCTGTTTCATTAACTTGAAGATTTCTTTATATTTATATCACTTAAGAAATGTTTTTACAGTCGGTTCATTCTCTGGCCTTAATTATTTAATTTTTTTTCTACTGGCTACCAAACTATTTAAGAGGGAGAGTTAACTAATACAAAGAGAAGGAATTTGTTCGAATAAATGAGGAATAAATCCCGAAATCGTAAAACAGCTAATCTTAGAACCTTAGATGATTGCTGAATAATTACAGAAGAACATAGTACCATAGTATTAGGTTGGTGCAAAAATAATGACGTAATAATGTCGTTTTTTGACGTTAAAAAATACGTCAAAAAACGACATTATTACGTCATTATTTTTGCACTAACCTAATAAAAATAAATAGATTATTATATATGGGTTAGTACTTCTTTGCCTAGTAGTATCTGTGCATTTTGAAAAAAATGTGAATGTTGTTCCCTGGCCGTCTTAAATAAGAAGGTAGGCTGTACTTTGTGAAAAAGCGTTACACATACAAACATTTTATTCTGCAAGTCAATATTTTCACAATAAAACTTATGAACCAATGGTTGTTGATAGAATTTTCAAGATATATTCATGAGAAACATCTTTATAAAATAGCTGCGCTAACATAGTTATAACTTATTTCGAGAATTTTATTACGTAAATACTGCAGCATAATTTATTTGTGAATAAATCCAAAACATGTACGACACAGAAGCCTTTGTAATAAACGCAATATCCCAAACATATGTAAAAATATTTTAATATTTTGCTTATTAATACGGGCTCCGTGACATTCTATAAACTTTACCATCGAATTTTGAGTTTTCTACTGTTTCAAATGTAACAAAACAGTATTTATTGCTTCCCAGAGATCTCTGCTGGACTCTTTTTGCGTATTCTATACTCTTATTTTACTGATGGAAACTAAATTTTCTATTTGATTAATATCTAGAGAGATTGTTAATTTGGTGATTTTTCAAACCATTTTTCTTTTTCTTTTCTTTTTTTTGTCATTTCAAATATTTTCTCCTTGGTCTGCATATGATCTTGCATATCTCTCTGCGTAGTAGTAGTCGTAGTAGATTTCTCCGTGTCCTGAATAGCAACCGGGTTTGACAGGCATAGCCGCCCTATGTTCGCTAGTTATTCTCGATTTATACTGTTCTATCTAATTTACATACAATACTACATGCTCAATGCAATTTTTTTGCTTTTTTAGCCTTTGATTTTTCTAAAATCTCTTTTCTGACATCTTTTTTTCTTAGTCATGTCAATGTTAATTTCTTTTTCTGTTAGTCTTGTCAATGTTTAAAATTTCTTTTTTTTTTTTTCGTAGTCTTATAATGTTTACAATTTTTTGTGATTTTAACATTCTGTCAATTTACAACGTTGTGTTCTCATCACTCAATAACATTGTATTCTTTCTCTTTTGAGCTTATATCTTTCATACAACCTTTAGCAATCTTAGAATATTTTTTAAGATAAAGGATTGGAAATTAAAAGATGAATGTCAATAAGTTGCTTATTCCCTGTCTCCTGTGCTAATCTTTGTCTGACACAAGGCAAAACATTTAAGACACCTAATTAGGATCGAACTCGCTACCCGAGAGAAATAATCTGAAAGAAAAAAATTCTCTTGCCTTCCAAAATAGCTTGTTTTCTATTTGCCGTTTGCATCATAGCCTGCATAAATAGACGCATGTCGCCATCCGGCCAAATCCTCATTTGCATATCGGCGTGTATGGTATGGTGGGGGGGGCGAACATGCATAGTCCTCTCTGTAAATTGATCCAGCGTCTCTCGACGCACAACGAAAATGCGCGTTCTTCTCATGAATCGATATTCAGAATCGCAGTAGATAGATGAGAAATGTGCGTTTTGTGTCAGTTTTAGCTTCGTTGAAATAAACTATTATCTTGCAAACAATAGTGATATTTACGATGCCAAGTCATAAGTGTACGACATCCAGTAAGAATCGACCTCGCTATATTATTTTGGCAAGACAAGATTGTTATTTATAAACCCCCTCCTACCACGGAAGCGTGGTATCTAAGCGTATCCACATATGCCGAGACCAAAAAAT